TGGAACTCTGATTTCAGAAAAGGAAGAAAAAAAGTTGTTGCCATGTGGATTTTTGGGGGGGGGGGTTCTCCCTCTGTGGTCAAAACTTCTCTTCTAGTCTATGAGAGCTAAATCTGATTCATCCAATTGCTCCTGAAATGTCAGGATTATAATCTAAATTCAGTTCACAACACTTATAAATATATAGCCTTATTTTTTTACATTTTTCCTTTGCCCATTTATCTTATCCGATAGTCAGCTTTTCTGAGCGCTTCCGTATACCCGACTATAAATAATGAGAAGAAAGCAGTAATAAGGGTTGGGAATTTTTCCTCTCTGCTCCTTGTTGAAAATCTTATGTTCTTATTAAATTGAATTTGATAGAGGAGAATATTTACCATTGTATGCTGAATTCTCCCAACAAATTGTACGTAACAGTGGTTTCTTCTCATGCAGTTACTCTATAGACAGTTTCAGTAATGTTATCCTCACCATCTGATGAAGCAAAATAGATTACCTTCAATTACTTTGTCTCTTCACTACTCAACACGTTGTTCCCCAAAAGATCACTCTATTAGGAAATTGATAGTTCGCTTGTTAATTCATTTATAAAATGTACATGCCACATTTTCACTGATAAAAGTGATCTTGTAAGGAGAATTATATACGTAGTTCCAGCTGGTTCAGATAGGTTTACCATACTGACTTCCTCTTTGTATTGAACTGGTCTGATCCAGAAAGAGATTCATATATGGAAGTTTGCTTTAGTGTACTTAGGTTCTTGCTTGATTAGGGTAATGAGGTAAAGGTGGCTTACTCAAATGTGGAACAATAAATACAATGTTTTAACCAATATTCCCTTTATCATATAGGGTGAAAATGGCCTTCCAGGAGAAAATGGATCCCCAGGACCCATGGTAATTCTTTGAACAATATTGTAGGAAGTCTATAGGAGTAAAAACAACAGCAACTGAACTATCATAAATCTGTGATTCTTTTACTCATCCACATGGAGAAAAATCTACAGAACTCAGTGGTAATCTGTTAGGTAATAAGGAGACAGGTTTTACATTTCTACTCAGATTGGAGAAGTACATCTACTAAATACATATTTAGTATTTCAAGTTGCAATATAAGAGTATGGCTGAATTACAGACAATTGTTCAGGCTACCATTGGTGGTGCCAACCCTGGGGATAAGATCATAGATCATCTAGACACCTGAGGCAATTATATGTATGTTGACTGTGCATTTACCTAATTCATATATAAACCCAGAACAGGAATGTGAAGCCTGAAACAGGCCTCATCTTACCTTATTGCACTCCCTGATTTTAAATTCTCCTTGCCTAAATCACTTCTGGTCTGAGGAAGTGTAGAAAAAAACTGTTTTAAAATGAGATTAAACACACACACACACACATATTTTCATGTTATATATACAAAGCAAATGCATCCCTGATTTCCTCAGATTTCTAATTTGTCCCTCATAGAAGTGATCTGTACTTGTATTTTGGGTCATTTCAGGAAGAGCTGCAAAAACAAGCCAAAACATTAAAAAATGCATAGTTTAAAAGAAACCCTAAAACTGTAAATAAACTCACAGCAGTTCAAAGAAATCATCACAAATGAGTAATTCAAACCCTGGAGGAATGAAGTAAACTTTCCCTGGGATCAAAAAGCTAAAAAGGAGGGTCAGGTAGACCCCCAGAGAGAAAATTCCATAAATAGTGTGTCCTCAGTGTATCTCAACTCAGAAAGAAGAATCCAGCGACCATCTTAAGCCCAGACAGGCTGCTATGGAAGCAGGGCATTCATGGGCCTATGCCAAATTTGAAAAGTGAGTAGTGGCATTTAGAAATAGAGTGACAACCAACAGAGATGCTTAAAAACAGCTGAGAGACTTTCCTAAACTTCTTGACCATTGTGTAATTCTTCTCATTTAACAAAGGAGTTAGGGTTGTTACCAAGGAATGGCTTTGTACCATCCAAGTGTCTTTGAATAGTAAGCCCTCTACAATTTTTGCTCTCTACCAACTGGGATTTAAGATACTCTCCCATGTCTGGAAATACAAAATATAAAAAAGGCATTAACATTTGATATTGCTAAGCAATATCACCAAACATCCTGGCCCAGGAACTGTCAGAAGAATCACATGTTCAGCACTTTCCTAAAAGGTAGCAGGTTGAAGGCTGGGCAAAAAAAAAAATCCTTCATTATTGACCCAAATCTTCTGATTCATCTGTGATTTTTCTTTAATGAAGGTTTTACAGCTGACCATTCAGTGACGAATGCTTTGGGCTGCCCTTGTTCTCTAAAAGTCTTATATATTTCTTAGGGACCCAGAGGCTTGCCTGGTGAAAGAGGACGAGGAGGGCTTCCAGGAACTGCTGTAAGTACTTGGGTGAAAGTTTAATATGAACTCTTATTATCATTGCCAGTTTTGGTCCTCTGGTAGACACTAGCAGTAGACTCTAAGAATCCTGGAAGAGGCAAGATATGGAAATCAAATCTGTCATACTGCCTTTGGTTTCTGTGGGGTGCTCTGGCAAAATCAGATTAGGAGCCTCCTTGGAAGTGAGAGACGCTTTACAGCTTACCTCAAGGGCACAACTTTGCCATTTCTGATTCTATTATTTTCTAGCAGTGTGTTATCCATATCTGTAGTTCAGTATATAAAAACTGGGGATTTTCGTTTGCTATTTTTGGCATTTACATGCTCCTCCTTTGCCCCATATTTTGTTTGCATGCTCCAGATCAAAAAAGAATATCAATATATAACCCCAGTTGAGGAGATTTAGGGGTAAGACATAGAATCTTTTCTATAGAACAGTTCCTTTTAGATCTGAAAAAAAATGTAATTAGCTAATGAGTTTTTCCCATACACTGTATATTTTAGTATGTCCATTTAAGGTGTTAGGGTTCCATATTTGCTTGTCGAAGGACTGTAATAACAATAAATAAACACATTCAGGGCAGCCATGAAAGGATATAGATCATTCAATATCTCAAGCGTTGCTGCCTTGCTGATTTATTTTGAAAACACCACAAGCAACATGCTTTTGTTTGTAATCCATTCTGTTGTGTTTTCAGGGTGCTCGTGGTAATGACGGTGCTCCTGGAGCAGCTGGCCAACCTGTAAGTATGCTTAAAGAGTATCTCTCCTTTTTCTCTCTCAGGTATTCTGCATTCCTTTTCTGATTTCTCACACTGAAATTCTTGGCTGAAGTAGAAATTCTGGTCCTCAGATCCCTAAAATTCCATTTGAAACTTTATGCTTGTTGTGCTGAAAGAGAAATACAAGGGATTTGGGGTTGTTCAGTAAGGCATCGATCTACTGCAGAATCAGGATTAGTGAGAGACTTGGGCTATCAGTACTTTTGGTTGAACATAGTCATCCCATACTTTCTGGTTACATGTGGTATCTCACAACACACATCTATCATTTTTAGAATTTTGCAGCATAGTTCAAAACACAAATCTTTTGCACAGAATTGCTTGTATAAGGGGAAAATATGCTTTTTTTCTTTAGCCTAAGGGATGCACTAATGATTGGACAGTGCCAAACATTTTAGGCTTTTTTTTTTTTGCAGGGGGTGGGATTAAGGGGGGATGTAGATGCCTAATATTATGCCAAGATATATAATACAGTAATGTAATAAAGTCTAATAACTTCAATTTGTTAATATCACAATAACATTTAATAATTTAGATAGGATATATCTGGCCATAGCAAAAACCTCTAAAGGCCTGTACTTTGTATCTGTTCAGGTATCCATTAAAAATATCAAGGTGACTTGCAACATTTACATATCTCCATAGCAAACTCTTGAGACCTGGAGAGTAGATACATTTATATTATAAATAATGTACAATAAAGTTTGCAAATTAAGGCAGAGAAATGTCAGAGGTGAAATTTTCAACTTAGAAAGTTAAATGTTTTTGAAAAAGGAACCTCATAATAAATTAGCAGATAGTTAGACCTGGAGAGTTCTAAGTTCAAGAGGTTAGTCATGGTCACCTTATCTTGGAAGCTCCACAAATCACCCCAAGAACTACAAATATGCAACTAGAGATGCATTTTTCCCATATAGGACCTACATGTTGTACCTGTCTGTATTATATAACACTATTTTATATTTGTATTATTTATGTTTTTACTGATTTTAAGTTGTTTTGTTGT